AGAACGGTGTACCGCTTCTACCACGTCCCCTTAACTCATGAGGTATAAAGGCAAGCATGAACTTAGCATGTCACTGTTGGGCCAGAACACTTCTGCGCTTCACCTACACAAGGATGTAGGAGTGCCTAATAAATAAATAAATAAATAAAAACTTTGCTTTCTATAAATTGTAGCAATATTTACAGGTACTGTACAGTCTTTATTGTAGTTATTTATTCTAAACATTACCATTTCATATGTTCAATCCAACCAGGAACCTAACCCCTTTTCTCTATTCAACTAAGGTCTCTACATTCACAAATGTTTTCAAGAACTTAACTCCCACAAATATAGAGGTCTTTGTAATATGTACATTATTGAGTTGCTGCAAACATGTTTCTTACAGACAACACATGACCTTTTTCCACTACAGGTCCGTCACCCACACCACTAATCAATACTCAGGCTTTCACCACTTTTACTTGGTATTTTGGACTCTATTCCTTCATTCCATTTCTTAAATTCCTTTGCTGTCTCTTTAATACTATCTGTTTATCTTTACTAAATCATCAGCACAAGATGTACAGGAGTGGATGGCAGACTGCAGGATGCTACTCACTTTAAGTGTTCTGTATGCACAGATAACCATGTGGCCTTTGCAAGGCTAGAGAAACTCATCACTGAGGATATGTCCCTGGACTGTTTAGGGCGAGTTTGTTACTTGGAGTGACATGACAAGTGCTGGTGGTGCTGAACCCTGCTCATTTGCAAGAATCAGAAGTGGTTGGAAGAAGTTTAGGGAGTTGTTGCCTTTAATGACAGCAAGAGAATCTTCCTCCACATGAAAAGCAAGATGTTTACAACTGGTAAGAAGTGATGTTGTATGGCAGTGAAACACGATGACATAAGCAAGCTTGGAGGAGATGTTATCAGAATGGTGAGGGATGTGTAAGGACACCAAAGACAAGAAACCCCATTCAGGGATAAGAGGGTTGCTGGTAATTGAGAGTACAGTATTGTACAGTATTGACAAAGTCCTGCATAGACGGAGACTGAGATGGATTGGGCATGGAGAAAATGGATTAGAATTAATCGTCAAGAAATCCATAAGCCAAAATGTGAAGGAAAGAATGACATGGAGAGGTTGTAAGAAATGGCATTTGAGTTAAGAACCTAACAAGAAGACTGCAAGAGACTATGCAGTAGGTGGCAGTGAAATTTGCTCAAAGCTGCACTCTTCAGGCATTGTCTTTATACATATCTAAGACTCCATGCCATATTTGAAGCTGATATGCGAAGGTTTAGTCTGCCGATTACTGAAATTTTAAATTTACCTACAGTACTAGCCAAATAGCCGCTGTGGGTGCAATGTTCTGTTCAGTGTTTATCAATTTTTTTCATATCTCTTTATTTCATTTAAGTTGTCTTGTTGCAGATGAGTATGGTGCTATGTCTATATTGATTATCAGCCTTTTCTCATTTCATTTCTCAATGTTGTGTTACTGTACTGTAATGTAGGGAGACGGTAAGTTGGAAGAGACTTGAAATTATTTGAAATTATTCAAGCGTGAGTGCAGTTTCTCCTTGACCAGCGGTGATAGGAAGATGAAGATTTTACGGGTTGACATGAAAGTGGCGAAGATGTGGGACAGAGTGGCGGCAAGAGAGAAGCATGATGCGGACAGAGTTAGGAGACAGCAGGCAAAAACATATGGGCTCCTCTGGTAACTGGAGATATTCATATGTTGAGGATAGTTAAGATGATTAGAATATTCACTCTGATCATACTGATGCTGATTTTGTCCCTGATCCAAGAACAATGAACACCAGTTCTGGGGCGGACAAGACTCTACCGCTGGCTGCGCTTGTGGCCCGTGCCCGATTGGTGATTATGCTGGAGTTGCCATTGCTACTGCCACGTAATAACTGACTATGGCATTATCACAAAAAGGATGATGACAGAGTCAGGTTATTGGACCCACATAAGCTGCGGGATCGAGACAAAAATACCGATTTAAGAGGCAAGGGGTGAGATGGCTAGTTTAGATAATTTGGCGTCACTCCTATTTTGATGGTAAGAAGACCGCCACTAGTGTGATGATAAAGAATGAGAAGGCCGAGAAATGGAGTTAAGGATGATGGTGAAAGATCATTATGTCATCATAAGTTGAGCCTGCAGCGTGAATATCTCACACATGTGACTCCCCAAGACTGGACCGCGAGAAGCAGATTGCCAAAAACTATTCACGAGTTTCTGGTGGAGAAAAATCTAACAGCAGCCCATTGTGTGTTGGTTGTGATAGAAACCAATGTAAATGTAGGATCAGAAAATGGAGTCATTCATCATCTTGAAATGTTAGCGGTCACCGGCTCATTATTTCATATGTCAGCTTCAAGGAAATATGAGCTGCCTTTCAGCAGTTTTATCACTATGATGGTAAGCAAGTGGTCCTGAGCATTGGCGTGGTCCATTGGAAAGCAGATCAAGGAGTCTTTGTCTGAGCTTCCAGTTGTCGCCTTCCAGCCAGTCAGTTTTCCTAGTTCCTGTGTTTAATGATGAAGTGGAGAAAGATCTGTCCTGGGATCAAATACCTGTATAGGATTTGTAAGGGAGTTATCACAGGTGTTGTTGAAGATGACTTGGCTGCTATTAGGCCAGGTCACTCCTGTGTGTCAAGGTGGAACACCTTATGGAGTAGAATCTCCAGGCTGTATGTAGCAACATCAGACCCAGCCATGAGTTGAAAAAGAATTGTCATTACAATAATAAGTTCAGTGCTCCAATGTGGTTTTTACATCCAAGATACACCCTTCGTAACTGCGGCTCGAGAGCGATATTCAGTCCCTGCTATATATGAAACACCTGAATAGTGAGTAGGAGATGATAGTGAAAGGCTGTCAGAAAATGCATACTTCGCCCACACAGATCAACTAGCTAACTTGGTATGTGTGCAGATGAGGACATGACTGTTAGAGAAAAGCTGTCTCAATGATAAGAAAATTAGAGAGGAGAATCAGCAAAAGGAAAGGGCTGCTGGCAGATCTGAAGAGGAGGAGGAAAATTCTGATGCTGCTGTTGGCGAGAATTTGTTAAGCTATACTGTTGAGGAGGGAGTAAAGATGGAGATGGAATGAGGATGTGCCTCCTGTAGTCAACTTATGAGAGGGTGAGTGACTCGAAACTAAAGTGGCAAGCAAAAAACTATCATTCATGATTAACTGGAGAGAATGAACTCAAGACTGAGCCTCCTTACATTGCTTCCTCTGTCAAATCTACAGGTTAATGACATTCTTGAGACACCATTAGTGGTGCCCAAGTAGCCAAACAGCACTCAAGCGATTAGAGAGGCATAAAAGTGATGACTGAAGCTTGCACTGAAGTAGCGGGATCTGGTCGAGATGGATATAGTAGGCAAAGATTATTGTCTAGGAAAATGATGCCAGGTTCATACAAAAAATTTTCAATATAGACATAATGATTTTTCTATCTGATTACCTGTAAAATAACATGTGAATTAAATCGATGTCACCCATGTAAAATTTATCATTATCCACCAAACATTAAATGACACCTAATTTTTGGTATACACTAAAAGTTGACAAAAAGTCGTTCGCGATCACGGCTTGAGGTAAATATGCATGAAATGGCATGAAATTTTGCACAGGTGTTTGTTAGCCATACAAGCGGTACCTGAATTGCAGCCTGCAACTCAAATAAAAAGTGTTTTTCCCTGCCCCCTACTATGCAGCATGGAGTGCTGTCATCAAGTAATTGTGGTTAAGCTATGTAATTGTGAAGTTGCTGTAAAATGTTAATGATGATGATAATACAGCACAGTACTGTATTATACCTCGACTGTGTTTATCCTATATAATTCAAAATTGACAAAAATACTCTAAGATCTATTCTTCTTCATTACTACAGTGTGCTTTGAAATCTAATCCTAGTTTATGTTAACAGTAAAAGCTTGTAGGCAAATCTTTGAAAGTACAAAATAAGCTGGTCCTGTGGAATACTGGTTTGGGTAAATGTAATACTGTGATAACCCACCAAAACACAGCTGTGTGCAAAATACCACAACTGTTTCTTTGATTTAGCTAGAAGTATTTAACAGTCAGTTTAATCCCATTTATGGCGAGTAATTCATAGTTACGTACTCCAAGAGCAACATCACAGAGAGGACACGGTTCTTGGTAAATAGTGTTACAGTTGGCTTACTGGCAGTTTTAGGATGTTGTCTGTTAAGGAATGAATGAGGATTATGCATCAAGGGAAGTACAGTATAGTAAGAGGTTTTCTAAAACAAAACATATCACTTGTACATTTTTTGGAATAATGTGAAGAATGCATGAACAGTGGCCACACTGTTTTAAGATAACAAAATACTTCAAAAGGAACCTCCTATATGGAAGAGATAAGGCCAACTAGATGTACAGTTGGGAAAAATATTCTTCTGCACATTGTTGTGGTCAGTGGAAACATCCGGCAACTCTTTTGTGATAGTAAACAGATAATTTATGAGAAAAAAAGTGCTTTCGCATCTAGTTGCCTCAGCATATTTTTATAATAAATACTTAATGGTGAATGCAAAACAACAAGGGCTGAGTGGAGAATGTGCCCTCCTCTTATGTTCTTTTTTGTTGGAAACTGAACACACTATTTTTATTCTCTTTGTGACAACTGTGAAAAAAACTTTAAGAACCTTGCAAAATTACCACTAAAATAATTTCTGAAACACACTACAGTACCTCAACCTACTGTTTGGAGACAGGAATCAACCTAACCATATCCATGATTATCAATCAACTTGTATATCAAATATATACTCAACCTTGCCTTCAGAAATTTTCTTCTGACATACGAGGGCAACTAACTGATCCCAAAATAAAACTTGAGAACTGTATGCTTTCCATCAGAGGTAATGGTGTGCTGGTGAACACAACCCTTCACCAAACTTTATCACACAACACACAAAATAAGATTTCCAAAGATAACAGAATGGTTAATAAAATGGTCTCTATTATCATAAAATAATTTTATTATATTCCAATCACTTAATAATACCCAAGAGAATTAACTAAATTTCTGAATTTAACCAAGTAAGATTAATTAGCATTGATGATCAATGGCAGGAAATTCACACACTTCAGAGACATCAACTGAACTTCACATCATCTCTACACCCTACAAAAATGTACAGTATTTTAAGAAGTTTCATCTTTATCAATTGTACAGTATATCAAATCTTAACTCTTCACAAAAGTCACTCTAATCAAACAAATCATTAACTAATACAGTATTGAGCTATAAAACTTTGATAAGATGCATCGTAATATATTTCCTATAAACTGAATCTAGAAATGTGACTTACAACTTCTCAATCATCATGGCTGACGCTCCACCACCACCATTACATATGGATGCCACACCCTTCTGCCCAGGTGGTAGTGAGTGAGCGAGATGGGTTAATATACGGGCACCAGACATTCTGTTAAAAAACAAAGCAAAATAAACACCATATGCTTTAATGGGGTATGTAGTCTATAATACACAAATAGAATACGGTACAGTGGTCCCTCGGTTAACGAACACAATTCGTTCCACAGAGTCGTTCGTTAACCAAATCTATTATTTCAATGGGATATTGGGTAATTGGTTCCGACTCACAGAAAAAGTACAGAAAAAGTACTGTATACCCGTAACAGAATTAACAAAACATTAAATATAAACTAAATACAGTACTGTACTGTACAGTTTATTGTACAATAATAAATAAAAAACAATAGAATACTGTATTTTAATTTACTTTGAGGTGTGTATGTCGTATTACCGGCAGCTTTGTTTACATATCAAACAGCTGATTGTAGAGGCAGTTGATGATGACATGCCATATTCTTTACAAGTGCATTGGTTCTAATGCCTTCTTCATGTTCATAATAATTTCTGCACTGTATATTATCAATATGTGAAATAAATTTCAGAATGACCAATAATTTTAATGTAAAAATGCAAAAATATTCAGGAGACCAACAAACTGGATGTTCACTCCACTGTAAACAAAGTTAAACTGAGAAGCGTTGGTGGATGATTCAATCAGCTGATTGGCACACAAAAACTGTTCCCTGTACTGTATATATTATCAATATGTTAAAAAAAATTCAGAAGGACCAATAATTTAATATAAAAATAAAAAAATATTTAAGAGACCATCTTTCTTGATATTTACTACACTGGAAACGAATGTAAACATAGAACTGATTACTGTATTGGCGGACTGGCTGATCAGCTGATCAGATGATCGACAACAAAACGTGTTTGTCGTAAGGATTTCGTTAATCGAAGTTTTGTTCGTTAATCGAACTGAAAACTCTTATGGTGCACCAGAAATCAAACGCTAATTGCACCTGTTTGTAATTGAACCACTGTACTTATATTTCGGCAGTTGATTTTTTTCTGAAACATTAAAAATACAAAAGGTAATATTTTTCCCATATATTCAAATAATTATTTAGTTTCTGCATAATGTATAAACAAGTTACATAAACTCAATTTACTATATAGTATTGCTGCTTGTAAGTCGACTTTTGAGCGCCAATTTTTGTGTTCAAAACTAGGGGTCATCTTATACAACAGGTATAAGATGTCAACCCCCAAGTATGCTTCACCACTAACATCAGATTTTCACTTTACCTTACTGGTAGGTCTCAGTCACTTAATTTCCAGTACTCACAAACAAGTTTTATCTAGTTAGCATTCTTCCAGAAGGGTAAATGTTACTGAACTCTGCCTAAGGTCAGTGTTTACACTACAGTAGTTATACAAACATCTTTCAAAACATTAAACTATCTTTCGATGTTAACTACGGTTTTCTACAAACAAACGTTACTAGGGCAGTTACTTGTAATATTTGTTGTTAAATTGTTTAAAAATAAAGTTCCGGTTTATTCATATAATGCACCTGGAGTCTGTAAACATTTACATGAATGTGGTGTAAAGTTGTAAACAGGGCAGGCACCTGGGAACAACATTGGCTTGTGGCAACTCGGCCAGTTTTGATATTACTTGTTGTAGAATGTAACTAGATTCATCCCTAAAGTTGCTACAAAGTCGTTAAATAAAAAATATAAATAAAAAAATGGAGAAATTCCAGTACAGTACAGCTACTCCTTGACTTACGACATACGACCACCCGGACATATTACCACCCCAGTCGTACAAAAAAAAAATGAAAAAGTACGATGAAGTTCAACATTAGTGATTGCTGCACTGACAAAATTTTGAAACCCCTTTAAAATAGAGGTACATAGAAGTGAGAGTTTCGAGAGTTCTCGGTACTGAGAAGAAAAGAGACACCAGAAATTTATGTAAATCTACCCAAAGATACAAATGAAAATTACATTATTAAAATGTACTATGTACTAAAAATTTATCTCTTGTGCAAAATATATGACATTTATATTCAAATTAATCACTATTTTATAAGAATTCCAGCAATAATGTAAATTATATTTCCCGGTCACTTCTATGACATTTTATAAGCAAAAAACAAAAACTCAATCTTAAGGACATAAATAAACAAATAAATACTTCACTAGACCTTCAGTGCTAACTGTCAAACATGTCACTGTCACCATCCCTCCCTCGCTCCTCCTCTCCCCCTCCAGGGTTTGGTGGCTTTAGGCTTACAGTTTTTATCTTATATAATATCACAGACTAAAGTTTGAATATAATTTGCATTGCTGGAATCCTTGCAAGACAGCGAATAATTTGAATATAAACGTCATATATTTTGCACAAGAAATAAAAAATTAATCACCATTAGTGATTTAAGGGCGATTTGTAGGGTGTTCTGACTTTATGCATTTTTTGGCTTTACTTTTTATGTACTTTTTCTGTGAGTTAGAACCAATTGTGTTTGTTTATCGAGGACGCTGTATTATTTTTGCATTTTCGACTTACGACCTGGATTTGGTCCCTAACCCCATCGTAAGTCGAGGAGCAGCTGTACATGTAAAACAATACCAGTCTAAAAACAGAATAATTAACATAACCTGACTAAATGACAAAAACTGTCACAAGTGGCAGGTCTGTGCTTGCAGCCATATACTGGTAGTACAGTGTACTACCATATACTGTCAATATAATGTACAACATGCTTGCTTTTATCTTATACCATAATTATTAAGTTTGAAAACTTTTTCCTTGTCAATATATTTAATAATAGACTATCAGTACTAGTAAACTGTCATTTCTCACCTAGTGTAGTGTATCTTAAATATTTTTATGCTTGTAGGAACTGTATTGTTGTGATATGTTTACACCACATTCTTGTGCCCTAGTAATGTTTGTTTGTACGAGAACCATAGTTAACACCTAAGGTATTTTAACATTTTGAAAATACTACAATTAAGTCAATCTTGTTTGTACGTGTTGTTAAAAGTAAATATTGGCAAGTTTAGCTGACACCTAGGATGTAGCTTTCAAATTGCAGTTTAGGTCGATTTAACTGCCAGGTATAGACTAAATAAACAATTTCAGTTGAAATAATTAAGGTCATCTTATATGCCACAATATACGGTAAGTAGGCAAATTTAAAAATAAAAAAAATAAATAAATAAAAAATAAACTTATTTCGTACCATTTGCCACATGGTAAGATGAAAGCTGTATCACACTACAGTGCATTTTTTCTCAGCTGATAAAAGATGACCCGCCTTTCTCAAGATTTACAGCTGATTGGCTGTTGCAAACCTGTCTGATTTTGTCCTGAAGTAATGATGTATTTCTAAATGAGTTTATTCATAATCGTTAGGTTGATCGTTTATGATGAGAAAGATATTTAGCTAAATTATATAAAAATACACATATCATTTCAAACGATATGCGTAAGAAGTTTATCAGAAGTATTATACTGATAACTTCGGGTAGCAAATTCAAGCTTTTGGAGGATGCATTTAATATATACAGGGGTGGAGAAGGGAATGCTAGACTTGGGAGATGGCCATTTGTTGGGGGGATGGCCATTTGTTGGGGAGGCCATGTTGCCATGTGTTGGGGGAGGGCCATGTGTTGGGGGAGGGCCATGTGTTGGGGGAGGGTGGTATGCAATGCAAGTTGCTCATCAGAGAGGGAGGGGATTAAAGAAAGCTTGGCTATTCATGAAAGAAGGAAGAGAAGGATGGATTTTTTTTTTTTTCACTATATCATCTTAGGTTTACATGCTTGTACGAGTAATAGGTGAAGACCCTTATTTTATGATTACGTATTATATTGTGCCATCCATTTCCTTGTGTATAATTTTTTCGAGTTGTGGTTCAGGTTTTAAACAACAATAATTAGATATTTATAATAATGTTGATATGAAGAGAAATACTGAATATGAGGATAGAAATCACATTCATTTTTAATATTTATCAACACGGGTCATAACAGAATTCAATAGCTCGGCCAATGTCTTCCTCGCCTGTCAATCATGGTCTTCCTGGCCTAAAATTGTATAATTTATATGAATTAAGAGTTCAAATATATTTTGTTTACATTACACACCCAAAATTAAGTCATTTTAATTTATCAAATGCCAGCAAACAGTCAAAATTACTTACAATGATAATTTACCCATTACAGGGAGTTCTGCTATAACGCGTGTTTTGATAACGCGAATTTGCTCTAACGCGATTTATGAATTCGGAACAATATTTGTATAACGCGAACGCTTGTTTGCTATAACGCGATTTTTGCTTACTATTTCTCCAATTTTGTGGTATTAACTGTGAATATGGTAAAGAAGAATATCTCCAAAAAGCGCTCTGATGATAGAATTCCCGGTGATTATCGTAAAAGAAAGGATATAACACTTGAAGAGAAGCTCAATGTTATCAACCTCAAAATCACCCTTCTCCCCTATCAAGTTACATTCATATTTTTTCAAGGTAAAGTGTTAAATTTACTGTATGATTTCATTATTAGATATGAATGTAACATTTATTTAGACTGTGCTATCCTTTGTGTTAGGCTAAATACTAAATTTTTTCGATTTCGAGTAATCTGCACCTAACCCTATTTTCTCCATAAGCCCTGTTATTTCTATTACGCGATTTTCTATAACACGATATTTTACAAGAACACAATTATCGCGTTATAGCAGAACTACCTGTACTCACCAATTGACGTTCTTTAGCATCCATCCTGGGCTGGGTGTGTAGCAGTGAACAGACACCATTGCCACTACTACCACCTTGCAATGACTTTCAAAACTCCAATAAACATATTACAGGGTGGACATGTCGCATTCTATCCAACAATTCATTCTTAATTTTTTATTAATTAATATTGATTTTTTTTTTATAGAACAGTGGTGGCGAGAGGCAGAAATGATCAATCAACAGCCTCGTTTCATGGTACTGGTGGTGAGCAAGCCACGCCTCCTCCTCTCTTATGTTGTCATATCAGGGGCATTCCCTCACAGAAGCTAGACGTCTAACAACCCTAA